TGTTTATTGACACTACTCTTCAAACTGGAACGCGTTATAAAAAGGAAATGTTGAAAAAACATAGAGAGGTGTGTATTGAGATTCCAGGAGCCGATAACCTAAATCGCACAGATTGATTTCTCAATTGTTTATCTCATTATAAATATTCAAAGACAAGGGAAAAAAACCAGTTCTTCTTGTACATGGGTATTGACTTTCTTGGGGGACCACAGATCCTCGATATACATTACCATGAGAACATGCGGTCGCCATATTTCCTTTAAGGGTTTTATGCTTGTTATTCATGAGGGCTAATCAACTTTCCTTGTATTTAAAGCAGGCAACGCTTAAAAATAGGCGAAAACAATTAATTGTATTAGAGCAACTTACTAGTCCCAGCCTACTAACCCCATCATATATTACCATACAAAGGAAACACTTTCTAACAAAATTAAGAGTAGGCTATATTACATAAATAAGAAATCTCTATTTCTTCGCATTTTAAAATTAGTCGTATACAAATAAAATATAAAAATATATCTATAAAATAGACTGTAAGTCAAAGAAAAGCAAAGAAAAAACAGAAAACTTGTATTTATTCGTTTTTCTCTCATAATAATTAGGTATATAGATTAGTAGTTATCTTGAAACGTATACACAACATTAATAACTTGTTGTTTACCATTATCGAATGTTATTAATAATTTTACAATCTTTAGATTAAATATAGACAAAATTAGTTCAGTTTCATCTTTTCTAGAGCCAACTTCTTGAGTGAATTAACTGGCTTTTTAAATCGTTTCCTTTGGTGAAACAATAAATTTGAGTAAAAAATTAATAATTATTTTTTCTCTTAAAAGCATGGCTGGTCCCTCCCGGGCAGATGCTTTCGGCAATGACGGGCATAGCCCAAGTCCTGGGGCCATGCTGGAGGACGGTTTAGGTCCAAAGGAAGTCTCGATCGAACAGAAGGTAGAGGTCAACGCGATGGACGACGGATAGGGGCGATCGTTTTATTGTTCTCTTAAGGCACCATCATTTAACGGTTTCCTAGGTAGTCAACTCCAAACGGTCTGTAACGTAAGGATGAAATTTAAAACAGTCAACAGAAGACTTCGTGAGAATATACTATCTCTATACTTCCCGCATCTACTCTACTACTTGTTTGAGATAGTGTAGAGAGCGACTATTCTCAAATCAGCATTTCGCCTGGACACTTGAAACAGGGCTGCTCTCTTCACAGATAGTGCCGGTTGGGTTTGTGGTAATCAACGTCTGGGTGAGAACGTTTTGCTTCATATTCCCCTGTTGAGTCACAGCCTTTTCAAAGACAGCCATTGCGGTACGAGGTGGAACGTCCATGCCCGTACCGAACATATACAGAATCGATCTTCGATTACACTATCGTACGTTGAGGAAGTTGGTCTGGAAGCTGTGGTGCAGCATGTAGCACCTTTCATAAATATTAATTAATTTCAATATAATATTAATCCATTTACGTTTTAGTGGTCAATTGACCAAGTTTACTTCTTTCTATGTACATACATTATTGAAACGACTGTTAACAAAAGATATGCACTCAGACACCTACTGGGACTAAGCATACATAACAAATTAATCTTTATGTAAGGCATTGGTTGAGATAAAAAAGTCAGTGTCACGAGCGGGATTCGAACACACGACCTTCGGCTAGACACGCCGCTACTCTACCACTTGAGCTATCGTGACATCGATCCTCTCGGACACCAACTCTGCATCTTAATCTACAACCGTTCGTATTTTTCCTATTTTTGCCATTTTCAAATGTGTAATCAGGATTGGATTCTCAGCGACTTATGAAGTGGCCACGTGGAGCTGTTTAATGAAGTTATACTTCCTTTACTTATTAAATATTAATCCATTTACGTTTTAGTGGTCAATTGATCGTTACTTTTTTTCAATTAATTATTCTTTCTATGTAAGGTCTTGGTCCGAGAGGATCGACGTCACAATAGCCCAAGTGGTAGAGTATCGGCGTATTTAGTCGAAGGTCGTGGGTTCGAATCCCGCTCGTGACACTGACTTTTTATCTGAACCAAGACTATTCTTATATATAATAATTAATTTAATATAATATTAAAAATTTATTTGTTTCATCAATCAGTTGTTTATCTTCTTCTTAACGAGTAACCTGTTAGGTAAACCGACGCCGACTCGAATTCATAGGCGTATTTCAAATTTTAATTCAATTAGATCTTGAAAATCTGGATGGATCGCGAACTGGAGCGGTGCGTGTTCGACCGCGAATTAACGAGTTCAGGCCACGTACTACAAAAATTAATAAGCTTGCAGGCAACAGCCCGTTCAAAACGTACAATTACATCAAGGTGAAGGTAAAGCACGTTATGGATTATTAAAATCTCCACCTGTAAATGTTGACATTTGTGATAGTTACTCTCACCACTTGCAAATTCTAGACATAAAAATTACAGCCTTTCGTAGTTCTACATTTATGTTATTAACTTTAATTGAATGACATTACGATGAGGTAACATCTGATCAATTACAATGTCTATGCATTGGAAAAGGTAACTTGGCCTTACTCGAAGCCAGGAACTGGATTTCTAGAAACTATCAAAGAAAATGTAAAATTCTCTTTGCATTCTTTTTTTATTAAGAATAATCGAGATTTATTTGATAATGAACAAATTTTCAATGAATTGTTCATAAATGTTCATTTTTCTGCTATACTTATCTTCAAAATTTTACAGATTTCGTTTTGGTTAAATAACCAAAGTCGTTTAAAAAAAAACTTTTTAAGCGATTTGAACAATTAGAGAAGAACGTAGTTGATCGCCTTCCTCACCGTGTACTTAACGGATTTTGCAGGGCTCCGTGCACATGAAATTGATTAACTTGGTATATATGACGTGGAGGTATTTTCTCTGTTTCTTTCTTATAATCAAATTTGGCCAAATAATTAACCGCAATATCAAATCATTTGATTCCATCCCACTTCTTTCCCCTAATCGTTTGTCATTGTTTTCTTTGATGACTTGTACTCTATTTTGTCATAAATACATACTGCGTGGTGTGAGCATCACTTCTTTTATTGTAATGTCTAAACAACAATTTTGTTTAAATTACTATGCATGCCAGTCTGCGCAATTTTCTCTTTTTTGCTCTGTCCGACAGGTTTAAATAATTAAAACATTACATACACCAGAACCTTGAAAATTTTGTTGCACTATTGGTTTAAAAATAGTATGAAAGACTAAAACATGGATGATCTTGTTGCTCACTTGAATTAGGAGTGGTTATTGCGTCATAAAGCCAAGGTATAATGTTGTTACACTCTTAGTTGGAAAAATGAATAAATAAAAAAAATAGTGCCTTCTGTAAGATCAAAAATATGAATCAAAAGATCATCAATCAATTCATCGTGAGGTTTGTAGAGCGAACCAGGTATTCGGTCGTTTCGGGTCACTTTGTCTTTCCTTCCTAATTTGGTCAGGCAGACCCAACAACCATTTTCATCCAAGGGTTGAACATCTTCCTCTTTAATTTGGTCTTTCAGACGCACCGACCATTTTTAAACAAACTGCTCTGCCGCATCGTAGTAGTCCTGGCCCAATTGTCGCACCATCCTTTTTGAAAAAAAAAAAAAAGTGCAACAGCATCATTGCGATTCTGGTTTTTGAGACGCGCCAACCATTCCTAAACCAAGAGTGCAACAAACTCATCGCAGTTTTGGTGTAGCAGACGCTACATTAATTTTTTAAAGCAAAATGTTGAACATCGTCTTTATTTTGGTCTTTGATACGCATCAACCATTTTTCAGCAAAAAGTGAATTAGCACTCGCAGTTCCCCTTGATTAGACGCGCCATCCTTTTTTGACACAAGAGCGGAACAACATCATTAGTGTTTTGGTCTTCCAGATGTACAAGCCTTTTTTAAATCAAAAGACAACTTTATCTCAAATTTGATACCTTTTTTAAACCAAGAGTTCAAAAGCACTAACCTTTTTTTAAACCAAGAATGGAACATCATCATCTCAATTTTGATCTTTCTCACGCATCATTCATTTCCTACATCACGAGTAAAACAACATCGTCGCATTTTTGATCTTTCAGACGCAGCAACAGTTTTTTAACCAATAGAACAGAACCATTAACAGGCAGAAATATCTTTCGAAAATCATTCTTTATTATGTTCTGTATTAGGTTCATCACAATTTGTAGCTAGGTCGTTTCAGATATTCGATTTGTCCATCCTCGTTGCGTTTGTCTTTCGGTTTTCGCCGTATTTAGTGGTGTGTTTGTTTTACACAGAGCAAAATAATTGAAAACAACCAAGCTTCATGTTTATCAACAACATCATTCTCTTCACTTCCACGCCTGTTGGTTATAAATAAATTTACGGACTCTATTTGTTTTCAAGATTTATATACTTAATTATTCCTTGTTTACGTACCTACCTGTATTCGTAATGTCCTACGGCACGGTTTAAATGTTAATCACGAGTGGAAAATAAAAAGGAAAGTTGTACCGTCTTGTTTTCTGACGGTAAATGATATAAAAAGATGGAAGAAGTGAAAGCTTGTCTTAAGCGGGCGATTTTATAGATCCACTTTCCGGCCGGGAGGAGACGTATCCAAGCGGGCTTTCATTAGCGCCTTTCTTCGTGTCAAAAGGGCCACGGTTGTGTTTTAACTGTCGACAACCCTTGGCCTCGACAGTCTTGTCACGTACAAACGTGTCAAACCGGACGAACGGCGAAAAAGACGGTCGCGGCCAGGAAAAAAAACATCAAAATTCGTTCTACAAGAATTCCCACTTAGTTTCAAAAGGTCAATGATTACTCGGCTATTTTAGAATTGTTGTCTTCTACGAAAACCTCGGGAAACGAAATATGACGTTTAACAATGTTGATGGTCGTGCTTTGCCCTTGGTCGACACAAGGGCGAAGGTTGAAGGAAATCTGTCTTCCCACTCTATGTATATAATTTTTTTTTTTAATATTAGTTTCTCTTCTGTTTCAGGTCAATCATGTTTCTAGCAATGCAACGGTTAACCTAAGTACGTATTATATAATTTCACTATCAATATGCACAAATTAAAAAAAAAATAGTATGTTAGCATTAGTGGTATGGTCGTTTTCGATCATTTTTATCTGCTTACCCTTGCTGAGTTATTTTTTTATCTGACGTGTTTCGCTCTTTTCAATATTTAGCAGTGTCTATCTCTTTGTGTCATATGAAAGGAAATAAATTATGAGAACAGGTTTCTTGACCAGATAGATGCATCGAGCCAGACAGACTCAATGGCATCTGGGACGCATTCTATAAACCAGAAAAAAATCCAATATACAACTGTAATAGTTGTACAACTTGTTTTTAGGCCTAACTACAACCATTTCAACTATGTCAATTGATGTGACTTTCAATCAATCAGGATACACTGGTATGTAGAAGAATGGTGGTGGAACGCCCAAAGATTACATTAGTCAATTAAGAATGCGGTTAAAATTGTTGTGATTGCACAAACTCGACCTGGGAATGATTAATATGAGTATACCAATATTATTAGATTTCTCCATGATGTCTTTGGGTGATAAACTTTTAGCTCGGCCGCTTCCGTTAATTATGTGTTCCTGTCTATATCTGCTTTGGTGCTTGCAAAAAAAAAATCTGTTGATCATAGATAATAGATAAAAATCAAAACGCAGCTGACATACCACAAGAGTAAGGGTATCAGGCTAAAATGATTGTAAAGGTCAACCCTCATAACAATCTCAACAACATGCATACTTGAGATTTTAGTACTTAGACTACTTTTTTTCTATTTAATCCAAAGACAAATTCATTTCTACAGAAATTTTGACTCCTGCTTCAAATTGGACCTAGCCTCAAACCTCCACTCTTTTGCTTTGTATCATAGTTCATGATTGAGATGTTCAAGCAATCTTAAGATCCAGTCTTGTCTAATCACTTAAAGAAAGACCAAGAGATTCATGTATGGATATATGCCCAAGCCCATGGAGTGACTGTATACAATGTCAAGGCACATGTCTATAGTCAATCCCTGTTCATATAGTTTTATATTCAGGGTATATCGCTTGCGTGTGGGCAAATAGGTCACAATCTCCCATGTGCCGTTAACTTTGTACAGCTATAGATAAAATATCCAAGGTCAAGATAAGTAATATTTCAGTTTCCACTGCCGGCTTCGCTTTTACCTCTATTCATAGTTCATGATTAGAACTGATAAACAAATCTAAATTTCACTGGTGTAGTTTCTTAAACGAAGATCAAAGCACTGCAAGCAAGTATGGGTTTATCACTAAGACTATAGCGTCTAAATACATTGTCTAGATACATGTCTATAATCATCCGTGAACATATTGTATACGTACTCACCTTCAAAATCTCCTGAGTGCCTTGAACTTTATATAGCTATATACAGAATATCCAAAAGGTAGAAGCGATACTTTGAAATCACTAAGAGTCAAACAGTATAGTTTTGAAAAACCCACGTCAAAACCAGATTCAACCCTCCACTACTGCCTCCTCTTTTACCTCATTTGATATTCATGATAAAAACTGATTAATCAATCTCATGATCAGTTTTGTCTAGTTACAAAAACGAACATCTGTGCATTGGTATGGTATGGTATGGTAAAAAGGATACTAGGAAACGGGGTTTGTGCTTCCCAGGCTCTGCAGCGTTCTGGCTTATTGTACCTTCCTAGTTTCTTAGTTTAGTGCAATAGACTCAATCCTTCTCCTTAGGTCATTCACTGTCGCAATTTCATTCCTTAGATATTTTCGTATGTTAGGTTAAATCTCCATTGAGTTGGTTCCAATTCGAAGATGATATGGACGGCTGTTTCCTGCTCCTCATTACATAATCTGCAGATCGGATCATCGATGTACATGCCCATATTGAATCCTTTTTAAAAAGATAGTTCCTACTCACAGCAAGAACTATCTTTTTAAAAAGGATTTAACACCACACTCATTCCATCATTTATCATTTCTATGCCCATGTTGTGTAGATGTTTTCTCAGATGCCACAGTGACCGGTTAGTAGTCCTACCGCTCCTCTGAGTTTAGCCCTCTCCAATTCCAACATTGATTTTGTCAGTCTAGGTGAGGGTTGTTTCATCATAAGTTTACTGGGTTTATCCATTTTACGTAGTTTAAGTTTATGTAGCTAGAGTTTATCCATTTCTCCTTTTGTTAGATCAATGCATTGAATTAAGATAAAATTTCTACGCTGTCTAGCTACAAGTCCATTTCATTTGTCGTCGAGAATCCAATCCGATTACACGACATTTGAAAAATGGCAAAAAAGGTGGGAAAATTCAAAAGGTGGGGTTGAGATGGGAAGTTAGTGTCCGAGGGGATCGAGGTCACGATGGCTCAAGTGGTCGAGCAGCGGCGTATCCAGCCGAATATCGTGGGTTCGAATCCCGCTCGTGCCATTGACTTTTTTATCTCAACTGAAAACCGTAATTATATGTATACATATAAAAAGAATATCTATGAGGACGTGATAAACCATATTTCGTAGTCACCAATGATCAAACGGGCGAAGGTTTGAAAAACCTAAGCCAAAACTAGACATTCAAGCGTGAACTATTGTCTCCTTTTTTTGCCTCGTTACATAGTTCATGATTAGAACTGATCAATCAATCCATTGTCCGTTGTCTAAGTTCCTACGAAGATCAAGACATTGAAGTATACATACATGACCTAGTCTCTAGAGCGCCTATATACATTTTTTAGACACATGTCTACGTTCAATCCCTGAACATCGTGTGTACTTACTTTCACAATCTCTCCAGTGTGCATTTTGTGTATAGCTTTCTAGAAAGTCGAGATAGATTTTCTATCATTTCAGTTCCAATTTTTGTGATATGTTAATAATCCAATTTTCTCTTAACTATTTTTATTTATCTTATATATCAATTATAAGCAGAGATCAGAAAATATGTAGCTTCGTGGTTTTTTTTTAAAGATTCGACTATCACAAAACCAATAGTGATTGGTAATAACCAAAATGTAAGAAAACCTGTTCACCTACTGAAAAAAAATTGTCCATGTTAATTAGGGCAAGTCGACGGGTGTTGTTACAAAGATTTATAGAATGGTATATTCTCGAAGTAAAGAAAGTGGCTGTTCGTCGAAGGGCGACCTGGAAAGTCGGTGTCGATGAACGCGAGCTTGTTCTGATTCTAATTAGACCGTTTATTCATGGGACGGTCAACACCTCGAAACTGGACCGAATGCAAATACGCGAAGGACAAATCTCCTAATGAACGGGAGGATCGTTTTTCATGAATGAAGATGAAGATCGTTATCGCGGTGATGAATCCCAATCGTTAGAGCTGTGTCATTTGCTTGTACTCGTAGTTTTACGCCTCGTCAGATACTCGCATGGAAACTCGAATAAATATCAAACTGAGTTCTGCTTCGACTACAATCCGGTTTTAATTATTATTATGGTGTTCATGATCTAAAAGAACAACTCACAAAGCCGAAGTTTCGTTTCAATAGACACAATCTGACTTTACGCTCGGAAGGGAAATTGGATTGCTATTTTGAAAGGCAAATGTCTGTCGAAATAATGCAATGCGTAACTTTTTCCTGCAATTAATGGGTCCTGCACGTGCTGAACTTATTTCAATTCGATCAACGAACATCATATCTTCATTCTACAGTGAGGAAAAATACTTTTCTTTTACCATGGTGAACCCAGCATTTAGTCTTTTTTTCACCCGTCTAATGACCTTTACGAAGATTTGAACCTACATAGATTATTTGCAGGTCGATCAACGAACATCATACCCCTACTATTTCAATTGCCTTTGGACCCGGTTGGACGTCTCTTCTATTTACAAAGGACAACTAGGATGAAAAGAGATCCTCTTATAAAGTTGAATTGTCTGCTTTGAACGGTATGATGTCATGGCATTTTACGAAGAAAATAAAGAAAATTGGACTTCTTAAATCCGAAAATGTTTTACACACGTTGGGGCGACATCCTTACAGGTGAACTTCATGAATTTCCGAATGGTAAAATTTTTAGTAATTCATAGCGTTCTCTTAGAAAATTGTGGCCCTCGGAGAGCCTGAATCGAATAAGAAAACTCATACTCACTCAACTAAGAATAAACCATACGAGGTCGTCCGGCATGTAGAGGAAGTTTGATTCATCCATTAGTCCCACTATATTCAGTTATTAATATTTTTTATTGGACTTATTTTAAATCAGGTTTTCAAATGTGTATAGATGTTCTTATCAACATAACATTATAAATTAATTTATTAAAGGGAAAATTCAAATTAATTTTTTTTTAGTTGGTTAAGATGAGGATTTGATCTTTCCTACTGAAGTCACGATAGCTCAGGTTGAAGAGCACCTATTTTTCATCTCAACGTTCATGGCATAAAAATGAATGTATGCTAAAAATTGGTTAAGATAACTAATAAGTGTCAGGTGTTTAGTGACCGTTAGCCAATGATTATTTGGAGATCGTGAGATGCGGTCTGGTGTGACGTAGGTTTTAGAAAAACATTTTCTTTATCGTGCCAACGTTTCGGTCTTTATTGAGATCATCTTCAGGGCCTGGGATTTATAAACATTGTTTAAAGTTTACAAATCGTTTCTGGAAGATTAGAAATGTCTGTGGTATATACAGTGTAGAGGATGGGTCATAAGATACTTCATTGTGGTACGCTTTCATCTGTGCGATACCCGGCTGATAGGGAGTAGCCACTGATGATTTGGTAGTATCTGTCGTGTCACATACATGATTGACTCCCCACCATAGTGATGTCATGGTAAGAGATTTGGGAAACAGGGGGATAAGATTTAGGTGTATGCGACACGGCAAACAGGTCGGATCTCCGTAAATTGGAAAATAATACATTTCAAAGGGAGCCGTAAGCTCAAAAGAAAACATTATTATTTCTGTTGACTGGGTGTCTGGGAATTTATTGAACAAATGGTGACCGTAGGATATAGGGGTATATATGTATGTTGTAAATAGGTTTTAATAAACTCTTATAGCA